TTCTATTGGTATTTTCTGTATTTCTTCCAAGTTCTTTTTTTTTCTTGTTTTGGTTCCTTTTCAAATCCTAGCTTATCAGGGCCATTTGCCACACTGACACTGGAATAAGCCTGAATGGGGGTCTGTATTTCTTCTAGTAGTTTAATTCAGTCGCTGAGCTGCTGCTCTGTTTATAACCGCCATGCTAGATCCAAGGGCTGACCATTCCTGAGAAAGTTAGGAAAATCCTTTCAGACTGGCGTGGTCCTGGGGCAGGGGCTCAGTCATCATCTTCTGTGTCTGCTCATTCTTGCATCATTTCTTCTACTCTGTAACCTAGTTGACTATGAAAAGTGATTCTTCTTCACTGATGCTGCAGGAAATGGGTAAATATCCAATTTTCTCTCAGTTGCTTGTCATCTGATGCAAAGAACAAATCTCATGTGTCCCTGTTTCTGGGAGGTTCAAAGGGAGCAAATGCACAGACTCTAGCATAGGATGAGTTCCAGTTTCTAATTATTTGTCTGTTCATTCCATTTCCTCACCCCTGTGAGAGGTTGCACTCATGGTCATGGCTGTTCTGAGAAGTTCAGTGCCCAGACTGGAGAGAGGGAAATGCAAACTCAGCTTCTTCCCAAGCTTCGGGCCTAGGCTGGCAAGTTTTGCCTTCCCTGCCAGCAAGAGCCCTGGCTTTGAGTGTCTAGCTACAGTTTTCTCAGATTGGAGGACTTGGGGATAACTTCTGGTTCTTAGTGAATTCCTGTCAAACACCTCCCCTTTCCCTCGTATCCATTTGTCTTGAAGGTCCTTGGCAGGCTTCTTACCAACAATTATCTAAAAACAAATGGAGTTGTTTGCATGCCTACATGGAGTAAAAGTATTTAGGAAACTCTTACAGCCCAGATTTGGGCCAGAAGTCCTTGCTCTGAGTCTTTACTTAGCCACTCTTAACTGTGAATTACTGGACAAATCATTTCTTGCACTCTGTGTAATCTGTCACCTGGGTACTTGAAGATTTAAACCAGCAATTGTGGACCTCCTCATAATACTGTCTCCTAAATATTGGGTAAAATTAGCATATCAAGGAAGGCAGGGCGCTATACCCATATGGGACTCTCTTTGTCTGTCTGTCTGTCTCTCTGTCTCTCTCTCTCTCTCGGATATTCATCTTTGGTGTCAGACCTGGTGTTCAAACCACAGTTGTTTTTGAAATTTCTCTTTCCTACTACACTATGCTGCCCCTCCCTGAAACTTTAATAATAAAAATAGCACACTTATTGGGCACGTATTTGTTATGTCCCAGGTTCTGTGCTAACAGCTTTAAGTGCATTATTCTATTTACCTTTTCACAACGAACCTATGAGGAAGAGGTTATTTCCACTTGTAGATAAAGAAACTGAGACTTGGAGAATGTAAGTGATTTTATTCACAAAGGCAAGGCAGTAAGTGGGAGGCCCTGTTCACCTCTGAGCAGAGGCCTGGCTTCTGTCATCCATGGTGCTGTTTCTAGTGTGGTTTGAAGAACCTGTGGTCTGAACTGTTGTATAGGTGACCTGCTGCTTTCTTGGAGAGAAATCTGAAAGATGGTGGAGCCCACATCGGCTTTGCCTGTGCACAGCAGATACCACCAATTTTGAGCGCGTTACACTTTTTACCATGTTGCTTATTTCAAAATGAATAAAATTCTCTTCATGCTTTTATTTTACAGGTTCTTAAATTATTTGGATTATTGTCCAAAAGTGTTAATGCTCAAGTGACTGATATCAACCCCAAGGGGCTGGAATTGAGGAAAGCTGTTACTGCAATTGAGACTCAGAACTTGGAAGACCAGTATGACGGGGGCCAATTGTGCCAGAAGCCCTGTGGTCCAGGTATGTTACACAAGACATCCAGAGATTACAGTGAAAGTCACAGTTAGGAGTGGCACATAGTAATAATTACCATAATAATTTTACAGCTTTTGGTTCTCCTATATTATATAGCATAACTGGGAGAAAAAACAACCATGAAATTATTTTCCAAAGATGAGTTTTATTTATATTTGTCACACTTATTTGATGTGGTTATGGATAAATATAATTTACAAGTGACATGTACCTATGAAATGAGAAGATTGGTCTATTTTGCTTCATTTTTTTCTAAGCAAAAATGACTCATTTGTGAATATGAACGCTTATGATGTCAAAACTGATTAGGGTCTCTCATAATAATAGCGGAACTCTGAAAGCAAGGGACTTCTACTCTTCAGGGACATGTCTCAGCACTTCCCTTCAATCAGTAGGTCTCTAAGAAAGCTTTCCTGGCACTGAAGCCTGCAAAATATATTTGCATTCTGCAGCTGAATAACTAGATGAAAAAGAAAAGAAACAAGCAGACACACACAGCCTTTTTTTTTTTTTTTAAATCAACACTTTGAAAGCAAACTAAGTTCAGATCAGAAATCCTTCAAACACCGGTAAATTAGAAGCTAAGCAAAATGCAATTGTGCAAACATTTTTTCAACTTTGAGTAGAGTTGAAAAAAGGAAAACTATTACATGGGTTCATGTGATAGATTAATAGAACCAAAAGGAACTGTAGTACGTTTCACGGTTGGCCTCCCAGGCTTCCAGCACCCAAGCTGCAACACAGGATGGGTCCTATTTGTGAAAAGATTCTACCAGTCTCCCTATGCTTCCTGTCCAGATTTTAATAGCCCTTGTGGAACAATCTTCCTTATAACCCAACCCATTTACACTTAAACCCATTACATTTAAATCTTTCCAACATGAATAAAAAATGGCTTCCTGGCTTTATTAAAACTTGCTAAACACAATCAATTTGTCCTATAAATTGAAATCTTTGTTTATAATTTTAACACCTAAAATGCAAATTAAAATGAAGAAAATATGCTTTGCACATCAAACTGTCAAGGATTTTTGTTTGCTGCCTTTTTGGTTTTGCTTTGTTTTATTTTCATTTAAGAAGTATAAATGTAAATTGTTATAAACTTTTAAGAAAGAAATTTGGATATATGAGTCAAAAATTTAAAAATGTTTACTCACTAAGATAGCAATTAACTTATAAGAACATGCCTTGAGAAAATAATAAAAAATAAAGGAAAATATTGTAAACATAATATTTCATTATCAATATGATGTGGAATTGCTTAGGTAAATTTAGGGATATTCAAAGACTGAAATAGTATGTATCAAACAAAGTCATGTTTTCTGATATATTTCAAATCTTAAGTCATTTCCAACTGATCTGGCTGGATTAATGATTCTCCCTGATCCCTCTATAAAATACCCTGGGTGGCATCCAACCATTTTAAATACTCCTCCCACTTCAATTCCCTCGTGTTGAATTTTAGGCTTATCAATTCGAATTGCTTCCAAATCTGTTTATACTCATTGGTGTTGTGATATTCAAATGTAATTTCATTGACTATTGCATATATCAGTGAAATACAAATACAGAGAAAAGACAGATTTTATTTCTGTGAAAACTAGGTTGAGTGCTTTGGATAATTCAGTAAAGATGAGCTGCTAAAATGTTGTTGATGAATGATGTGAGGGCAAAATATATGTTAAATAGTAGAAAAAAGTCACGAAAATGTCTAAAGCCATTCATACAGATTATTGGCGTGTTTATGTTTTCATTTCATTAGGAAGGGGCTGGGCTTGGTGGCTGAAACCTGTAATCTCAGCACTTTAGGAGGCCAAGGTGGGTGGATCATGAGATCAATAAATCGAGACCATCCTGGCCAACATGGTGAAAACTTGTCTCTGTTAAAAAAAATAATAATAATAATACAAAAATTAACTGGGCATGGATGGTGCACACCTGTAGTCCCAGCTATTCAGGAGGCTGAGGCAAGGGAATAGCTTGAACCTGGGAGGTGGAGGTTGCAGTGAGCCGAGATCATGCCACTGCACTCCAGCCTGGGCGACTGAGTAAGACTCCATCTCAAAAAAATAAAAGAAAGAAAGGAGGGAAGAGAGGGAGGGAGGAAGGGAGGAAGGAAAAAGGGAAGGAAGAAGGGAAGGAGGGAAGGAAAGAGGAAGGGAGGGAGGGAAGGGGGAAAAGAAAGAAATGAAGAAAGAAAGAAAAACAGACAAACAGGAAATTATAGGTGATACATTATGGATGTTACTTAAGTAGGAAAAAACCTGGGATTCTAATAACTTTTACATCCCAAGAGTGTCAAATGATTATATAGTTATATTTTATAAATTAAAATATTTACAGCATTTGTAAGTGATTTCCTATGTAGATTGACATTTTTTATTAAAAGGTCAAAGAAGTCGTCCTCACATCATCATATTTAATAAGAAGGATTCTATGGTATACTACATACATGTTTCACATATGCACATTATACATATATATACACACACACACCTGTTATGTATATGCTTATGTATATACATATATGTATTTATATGCATAGGAATGCAACAAAATAACAGTCAATATCTCAGGATTTTTTATATATAGTTGTTGTTTTTTTGTTTATTGTCCTTGAGATGGAGTCTCACTCTGTAGTCTAGGCTGAAGTACAGTGATATGATCTCGGCCCACTGCAACCTGTGGCTCCTGGATTCAAGTGATTCTCCAGCCTTAGCCTCCCAAGTAGCTGGGACTACAGGTACACACTACCACGCTGGGCTAATTTTTTGTATTTTTCATAGAGACAGGGTTTTGCCATGTTGGTCAGTCTGGTCTCAAACTCCTGACCTCAGGTGATCTGCCTGCCTTGGCCTCCCAATGTACTGGGATTACAGGTATGAGCCACTGTGCCTGGCCTGTTATGTAAGTGCTTATTACACTTTCCTGCCTTTTTCAAATTATCTGCAATAAGCATATGTACCATTATACTAAAAAAGTATTTAAAAATATTATTTTCAATAAAACAACCATTCATTTTCTTATTTTAATAAATTGTTTTCATACTTTGAAGGAAAGAAGGAACCTGTGGTTTATTGTATCTCCATCATACCAAAGATGTTGTGCAAGGCACATTCTGCAAGATAATTCATTAAAGAGACCAGTTCATTCAGAGACCAGTAGAATACAATACCACTAGCAAAAAATAAAATTATACTTGGACTTGGGCTCTATTTTTTCTAAAATATTGCTACAATCTTATATAGCCCTAAGCACTATTTTTGAATTTTGTTCTGGGAATCTTCAGTTTGTTTATTTTTTTCTTCTTTTTTTTTTCTTTTTTTTTAATTGCATTTTAGGTTTTGGGGTACATGTGAAGAACATGCAAGATAGTTGCATAGGTACACACATGGCAGTGTGATTTGCTGCCTTCCTCCCCTTCACTGTATCTAGCATTTCTCCCCATGCTATCTCTCCCCAACTCCCCACCCCCACTGTCCCTCCCCTATTTCCCCCCAGCAGACCCCAGTGTGTTTTCTATTGACAAATATTTTCTTTACTTACTAAAATAGCATATACATTTACATGTCATCATTTACTCTGGTAGAAAATATTTTGTTTTATCAAAAACAATATATGAAGTTATTGAGGAAGTCATGTACCTAGGAAACACAGCAGAAATACTTTTTGCTGTATATATGAGCAAAGCAGATTAGACTGCTTATTTTTTTATTTATTTATTTTTTTTCTGAGACAGAGCCTTGCTCTGTTGCCAGGCACCAGGCTAGAGTACGGTGGCGCAATCTCAGCTCACCGCAACCTCCGCCTCCTGGGTTCAAGCAATTCTCCTGCCTCAGCCTCCCTAGTAGCTGGGACTGCAGGCACGCGCCACCACACCCAGCTAATTTTTGTATTTTTTAGTAGAGATGGGGTTTCACCATGTTGGCGAGGATGGTCTTGATCTCTTGACCTCATGATCTGCCCATCTTGGCCTTCCAAAGTGCTGGGATTACAGGCGTGAGCCACCGCACCCGGCCTAGACTGCTTATTTTTAAAAAATTAGTTATACCATTAACAATTAGAGTCACTAGTAATGTTTTTCTCAGACACTTCCCCTGATATTTTCTGTCACTTTCTTCTTCATTCTCTATTCCCTTACCGTCATCTCGCTTTCCCCATAGCATTTTTAGCACTTGATATCAATATATTTATTTCAGTATTGTAAATGCCTCCAGCCTGAGAAGGTAAAATCGTTGGTGATCAAGGCTTTATCTCATTTCCTGCACAATATAAAACTTATAAAAAGTTCCTAACACTCAATAGGCATTTAATAAACACCTATCAGATAAATGAATTTTTCAAGAGAATACATTGGATAATATTAACAGCAATACAGTGAATCACTTCATTTTTAAATTAATGCAAATGTGTATATTATTTAAAATTGTTTAAGATAACAAACCTGACAGATAATAAATTTTTGTTTAAGTTTGTTAATGCTTATCAAAACTCATCAATATGTACCCTGTCTTTTGATGAAAAAGTAATAGAAAGGGGAGAACAAAGGTGCTCACTAGGCAGGCTGAGTGCAGCTCTGATAGCAATGTAAGAGAAATATTACTATCTCCATCATATGCAGGAGAAAACAACACTTTGTTAAAGATTTTACAGCTGCTAAAGATTTGACCAAGACTTTTAAAACTTCAGATGTTCTCTTCCTTATTACACTATTTCTTATCAGGATCTGTGGACTTTGGAAAGTAAAATAAGAAGTCAGACCAATGAGTTAGTTGGATATTCTCAGTGACCAGTAGCAACTATCCCCACTCTGAATATATACCTACCAACCTCTCCCCTTTCTCCAAAGAAGTTAGTTGTTGGCATAGGTTGTCCAGTGGATTTTGTCATTCTAACCTTCCTTTTTTTCTTTTTTTGATATGCTCCTGTTGTTAATCATCCTATTTCTATAGGTATATTCCTTCAATCACTCATTTAGCTTTTGTCTTGGGAGACTTTCTGACTCTTGACATGACTTTTGCAATAATTTTTCTCCCCCATTGTATTTATAAATCATTAGCCTATTGCCACTTCCCTTGTGTTTTAGAAGAGTTTATTGTCTGTCCCCCCTGCATACTTCCCACCCTGTTGCTTGCCCATGTCCTGTTCAAACACTTGCCCCTTTTTGCCTTGGACAGGCGAAAAGAAAGCTAGGCATTGCACGGGAGATGGGGATGAACCAGACTGCGTGCCCTGCCAAGAAGGGAAGGAATACACCGACAAAAGTCATTTTTCTTCCAAATGCAGAAGATGTAGATTGTGTGATGAAGAACATGGTAAGAGTCTTAAAAAGCAATTGAAAGAGACCGATCTTGGAATTCCATGTAGAGCCATTTATAAGGCAATTTGAAATTGGGGCCTACTGTGGTGCTACACTGATATACAGGAAAGGGAAGGACAGGTGGCTAGGGTACCACAGGACCAGGTACCGAGCTAATTACTGATCTAGACCTTTACAAGTAGGTCTAGGCAATTCTTCTAGATGTGGAAGAATGACTAAATATGAACCCTAGGAACAGGGTTCATCAGCTCAAATCAAAACCTCATATTTTGTTTCTGGCCTTGATTTATACTTGTATAATGGTGCTTGTTCATGGCCAGAAAAAGCTCAGAAGGCTGGACACAGAAACAAGGACACAGAAATCCAGCAGGTGGGTAGAAATGCTCCCCATTTCTTTGGGGATTTAGTTTGTCCTGATAATTCCCATTGGGGACCTGAATCTTCATGGATATCTCAATCTATTCTAAGGGCCCAGATTAAAGTATAACAGAAGTATTTCTAGTTTGGTTTGACATGAAGAAGCCTCTGGACATAAAGCTTTTCCTGTTCCTATTCAGGCTGTAAAGCAATGTTTCTCATCCCTGGCAATGCATTACAATTGCTTAGGGAGCTATTAAAAATGTTTAATGTTTAGTTCCTGCTCAGGGCAATGAAATCAAAGTCTCTGAGTGAGGGTCTTGGTATTGGTCTGATTCAGTCTAGGGTACAGTCTAACATTCTGCATTTTTTTTCTTTGAGGCAGAGTCTCAGTCTTTCGGCCAGGCTGGAGTGAAGTGGTACAATCTCAGCTCACTGCAACCTCTGCCCTCCGGGTTCAAGCGATTCTCCTGCCTCAGCCTCCTGAGTAGCTAGGATTACAGGCGCCTGCCAACATACCTGGCTGATTTTTTGTCTTTTCAGTAGACACAGGGCTTCACCACATTGGCCAGGCTGGTCTCAAACCCATGACCTCAGGTGATCCACCCACCTTGGCCTCCCAGAGTGTTGGGATTATAGGCGTGAGCCACCGCCCCCAGCCCATTCTGCATTTTTAACAAGCTCCCAGTTGATGCTGATGCTGCCAGTCCCCAAGTCACCCTTGTGTATTAGGGCTGTAGACAAGAGGAATGGTGAGGTTTGTCTTGGTGGCTGCTAAATGATTGCTGGATATTTCAATCTGGGGTTGCCTGTTCTGTGTTTAAACCCCAATTGTATTACGGATGTTACGCTGTGACTGTTGATATAAGCGGTAGATCTCAAAAATCCATGCAGCTCCTGACCACCATTTTCATAGTCCATTTATAATTAGCTCCTATAACTAATAGTTTGCAAATTGATTCTCTAGGCTTAGAAGTGGAAATCAACTGCACCCGGACCCAGAATACCAAGTGCAGATGTAAACCAAACTTTTTTTGTGATTCTGCTGTATGTGAACACTGTGACCCTTGCAGCATGTAAGTTTTAGTCTTTCTCTGATTAAAACACTAGATATAACTTGAGAATTATTGTTTTCCTAGGGAAGTAACACTGATTGACAGTTAAAAATTAGGGTTCTAGTCTTGCTTTGCCTCCAAGCAATTAGATGACCGTTTGCTCATTTAAACATTAGTGAACACTTCCTGTGTAGGTGACACTGTGCTGGCCAGTTAAGTTAAAGATATGAGCCAGACACATGCCTGGCATCAAGGTATCAGTCCAGGAGCACAGAGAGTCGAGAAAAGCAATGGTTATTGTGTATCAACAGCATGAGAATAGCATCAGAGGAGACTTATGTTCCAGGAATTATAAATTACATGGGAAAAGTTTTCAATTCTGCCTAAGGAGATGGAGGTGAAGACATGAATGTGTCTCATGGCCTTAGTCTTGAAGAAAGAAAAGAAAGCATTAACAGGTGCACATGATGGAATGCACATTTGAGGCAGGGGAATAGCAGCTACAAAGAGACAAAGGAAGTTCAGGAAAACAGGGTACTTAGCTGGAGTGTAGGAAAGACTAAGAAGGGGTCAGGGCTGAATCATGAAGGGCTTTGTCTTTTAGGCTAAAGAGGTCGGTTTTGACCCAGAGTTAGAGAACCTGACTTGTGATTCATCTTGGGAAGCTTTTAGGAGTTTATCGAATAGGCTTAAGAATTAAGGACATGGTGCTTTCTGTTTTATTTGCTAGAAAAATTGTATGTGCAGTTGTCCCAGACTCTCCCCTGGCCCCATGTGTCTTTAAGTGCCCCTATGATGGCAGGGTAGGTAGGCATTGGGGAAGGAACTGACTTAGTAAAATAATAACAATATTTCATAATCTTGATTTAATTTTCTTTTCATCATAACCTTTTGAAATAGATACTATTATTTCCATGTTATTGATGAGAAAATGGGCTAATGGCAGTTTGACTTCCCAAGCTCTCCTAGTGAAATAATGGGCAGAGGCTGTGAACTCAGGCAACCTGACTGTCGATGTTTGTCTGTCTGAAGGAAGTCCCACATGAACCTCTTGTGTCTCCTGATCACCACCTGATGCTAAAAGTGGCAGCCTCTAAAGGCCAGCTGAGCAACCTCCTTAAGCTGCATCATGGGTGTAGCTGTCATCAGGCCATTTTCTTGGTCTATGGGAATTTTTGAAATTACTTTTGGCAGTTTATTTTAAGAGCTAGTTTAAGCTATAGGATTTATATTCAGTTTATTACCAGGTTTAAGTTTATTTTTGTGTCTACTTCATCTCTTGTGTATCAATATTTTTTCTATCTTCCTTTAACTCTGGAAATTTTGAAATAGAGTCATTCCTTATGATATTTTTCATCTAGCCATCCAAATTGTATTAACTTGTGCCAACTTTAGATACTAATCTAGAAATATTTGAGGGAATACATTTGCCAGAGATGCAAAGTTGAATAAAATGGCCTCTTATTTATAATGCGCCATTGAAAATGATAAAAGAATCATTCCACTAGGCTTTTGAATTTCCCCTGTACTTTTTTTTCCAGATGTGAACATGGAATCATCAAGGAATGCACACTAACCAGCAATGCCAAGTGCAAAGAGGAAGGTAATTTTTTTTTACAGTTATCTTCTCCTTTCCCCCATCCCCATGGAAAAATGTGAAGAAAAAAACAATCCCTTTTGATTATTTGAGAGTCCTCTGTTTAATCTTAAAGATTACTTATTTTCATATAAAATTTCCAATGTTCCAACCTACAGGATTCAGATCTGACTTGCTGTGGTTGTGTCTCCTTCTTTTCCTAATTCCACTAATTGTTTGCGGTAAGTTCTTGCTGTGTTCAAACTGTAGATTGAAATAACTTAGGAAGTAGTTCACAAAAATATGCCTCACTCCTACCTATAAAAAGCTACCAGTTTGGTAGATTTATGTATTGTTAATTTCTTGCCCCTGAATGCAGCCTTGAGAGTTGATTGATAAGAACAAATAAAATGATCCCTCAGCTAGTTTCTGAGCAAGAGTTTTGGGACATTGAGTGGTATTCCAATCCTCCCTATGAACAAGGGTTCTCTGCAGTAGCAGAGTTGGCCAAAAATCAGAAGTAGTTATTTACCATTTATTGATATCTCCTTATGCAAAAAGAAGACACAAGAAGCAAATGCATTCCCAGGAAACATATTGCAGGGAACACTAAACAAAAACAAAAACAAAAACAAACAAACAAAAAAACTTGTCCTTCTCTTCCTCCTCTTCCTTGCCCAACTTGCTTGTTTTTAATTATTTCACCTTCTTAACTTAAAATACTGTGGGGACACATGTTATGCAAGGGTGACTTAGTAAAGTCAGTAGATAAGCTGAAATTAGGTATAATCATAATTAGTCTAGAAAAATCCCTTTAAATCATCCATAAACTACAGGGTCACACCAAATTTCAGTAACTTAGGAGTATCCAATTTTCCCTTCTCTGTTAGAACAATACTCTGTTTCTTCAGTTCAGTTGAAGAAGAAAGTTTGCCTTGCCTTTAGCATTGTTTAGCTGAAAATATATTCTGGATGTTTAAGCCACTGTAATTGTGCTCAGAGACATGCAGATTCTTCCATCTCATATTGATTTTAATGCACACACCTATTGAGTACATATACTTGAGTTATTTGTGTGTGTGTTTGAATTTCTGGGCATCCATAGCAAGTCAATGTTGACTTGCTCGTCCTATGGCTTCTGTGTCCTGCCACAGTCTTGCCACTCACATCTTTGCTGGAGAGGGAGTGGTGCTAGTCATACGATAAGTCAAAAGCCATCTCCATGCTAGGCCAACGTGTGGTAATTACATGACTAATTAACATATGTCCTTTCACTAGAACACTTGACTCAGTGGTACGAGAATTCGAAAATCAGCTGCTTCCTGCAATATTTGTCCACGTTTAAGTTTCAGTGAATTTCTCCTTTTTGCTTCTTATGCTTCTCTTGCGTGAAAGTGGTGAAAGTGTGAAAGAATGTTCTCACATGCATTCTACAAGGCGGAGACCTGAGTTTGATGAAATTTATTTGTTTTTTCAGGGGTGAGAAGATGCATAAAGCACAGAAGGGAAAACCAAGGTCATCGTGAATCTACAACTTTAAACTCTGTAGGTATTGAAATAGGCATCAGCTTTCCTTGAAAAAAAAAATAGAGAAATTAGTGATTTGGCTTTTTTTTTTTTTTTTTTTT